TTTAAAAAAATTTATTAATTAAAGAAATAACATTGCTTTAACAAATACAAATCAACAGAAATTATTCACAGAAATATCTGCACCATTTTCTCTGGGGTTGCAGAGTTTTTAGTGTCTGAAAGTGAAGCTTACAAATTGTTAAAATTTATATGAAATGGGCCACAGATGAACGGGCCTACCAGGGGCCCATGGAGTCAGGGAGCCCCCAGACCAAGCAACTGTAAAGAGACCTTTATGTTGGAAAGTCAGTCAAATAACTAGCAAATTACAACAAAAAGCCACCAAATGAGAAAAATAAATGTAATGCAACTATAAAAATGACTAAAAACAGACACAAAACAACTACAAAGAGAAGCAAAGCAATTAAACATAGGTGCAAAATGATGACAGGTAAATGAAAAACCAGTCAGAATTAACCCAGTGACTGCAGGTTTATCAGAAACTATGCAAACAGGTGTGTAAACTTCCCGTTCTTGTTAATATTGTGTCAGTAAAATTCAACTCAGCTCCTTTTGTTGCTAGCTTCCCCAGTACTGCAATAAAATGATCAGAATTACTGGTGAGAATTCACATTGAAGGGGTCGAGGATGGAGGAGCAAGCTCTTTAAGATGCAGCTCTACAGGACTTCTGCAGGAGTGCCAACTGTGATAGACCTGTCCAGGCTTGTAGTGCAGTGTAGCTGGAAAAGTCTCCAGTCCTCTTCTGCTTAAACAGGGTAAACCTGATGCATGGATGGAGGCTTTGAGCTCTTTTAGCAGTTCCTACCTCCAGCCCTCAGCTCATAATGCACATGAACCCATCATGAGTGCTATAAGCTGGCCACTGTTAAACACATAAAAGCACTTACATTTGAGGAAGTCAGCGTGTGTCACTGGATCAGGTAGTGACAAGTTGTGCTTTGCTCCAGCAATTGTATGAACTGTTGTTTTTATTCCCATTTTGTCTGAAATGAAAGAAAACCAGTTTCAGTGTCTGATCCACGGTCACGGGGAGACAGGTATTTCCTGTCTTTCAGATCCTGTGACTGACCTCATGTGTCTGACGCACAGAAGGTGACTCACGAAGCACACATGTAAATATAACTAACACAGTTCTAACATATATTTAGACACACATTATCTCAGGTTAGCTGTGACGCTGCAGAATGACACACAGCCTGAGAGTTCTTCAGAGGTGAACATGCCCAGGCTGCCAGAGGAATGTCTGTACATCTGTAATGTGCTTTCTCTTGGCACCATCATCCGCACTGTCTGTTCTTACCATTTTTACATGTCTCCTTTACTTTCTCTATGTACGAGGACAAAAGCATGGCACAGAGCTCCTGTGTGGAGTCAACAATCACACGGCTGAAGGACTTCAGACGGTCCATCAGGCCGATGTAGACCCCCGGCAGGGAGATATCACTGGCTTCTTTCTTCCACACTGAATACTCCTAGAAAACAAACCAGGGTTTCTGCTGGGTTTATAAAGTAAAATGTAAGACTTTTTTGGAGACTGTTTACACTGCATACACTTAATGTTTACACCTGTGTCTTGGTGATGCTGATCCACACGAAAGATTTCCCACTCATTTTCATACTTTTCATGCACTTAGTAAGTAGTTCTACTTACAAAGTGCACAGATTTATAAAGATTAATATCATATTTTTTACAGCACTTCTGGTTTTTCAGCCAGTTCTGGTTAAAATCAGCAGACTAGAAAAATATGTTAGACCTTAAATTCTTCCTGAGGCTTTTTTCTAAGCCTTTTTGAGACCCGCTGACCCCGAGAAACACAGTAGCCTTCAGGAGTGTGAGGATTTATGCAGCCTTTAACATGACTTGGACTTGAGAAACCAGCTACTGATCCCAGTGGTGTTACCTGTAAGAAATCCACATCATTTTTGTTCTTGGAGAGCTTCTCCACCTGCGTCTGAGCCTTCTTCAGCTCTGTGCACCTCTGCTCCAGGTGAACCCGGATGCCCTCGGCCTGCTTCAGTGCCTGCTTCTGCTCGCCCTCTAAGATCTCCGTCACCTCCTTCTTGGCTTTCTCCACCATCGCCTGCAGCTCCTCAAACTGGCTCTCGATCACTGCTTGTACTTCAGCCACCGATTGCTGCGGAGCAGTACTTTTAATTTTACATTGCATTGTATAGACAGAGTATTACTGGCATAATCAGAGAGGAAATGATGAAAGCACCGATAGATAATATGTAGGGAATGCATCAGACTGCACACCTGATTGTGTCACCCCCTCCCTAAACAACATAACAAACAGGGATTTTCTCTCACACGTCAGGGAAACCTGTCCGGTTTGGGCGGCTCTGTCATGTATGTCCATTGACTGTTGGACATTCATGTGACACACACTGAGGTCATGTCAGACTAGTCAGGTGGCGTGTGTACCTCAATAGAGACAGTGTTGAGTTGCAGTTTGCTGATGGCGTTCTCTGCGGCTGTCATCGTCTTCGCCATCTCAGTCTGCTTCTTGCTCAGTTCCTTCTGTGAACGAGACAAGGCCAGATGTCAGCACACATCACGCTGTCATGCTGCAAATATGCCAAGATCTCAACAGCAGTAGAGTACATGTGTCTGCAAATGTCAACATCTTTTATCTTTACAAAAACTGTTGTTTCCTCTGCTCTGGAGTCACACACCCTGTTTACACATGACTTCACAATCAGAGCAAGCAGACAAAGAATGTCCTGGTGTAAGCTCCACAACAAAGACAGAACAAAGTCACAAATAATGGAAACACAAATACACAAGTTTAAGACTGGTGCAGGGTGAAAAGACAGCATGATGGATTATAAGTGACAGTGGAATGCAATGGACAGTGAAGGGTCTGGATACAGTTAACTTCAGCTGCCTCTGGGGGTCTTTATGATCTCAGGCTTTTTCCAGCGGGAAGCACTTCAGAGGGTCCAGGATGGATCAGACATCTCGCTCACACGCCACTTGGCCTGGGTGAGGCTTGTTTTCAATCAAGTCTGAATTCCTGGGGCGGGTTCAAACAACTCCAGAGCTCCTTGGAACTGTGAACCAGTTCATTTTCAAAGTTTGTGGCCTGAACTTTGAGCTATTCCTTTTTACTGTAAAATATTTTCTGCAAAAATGAGTCTGTTTACTTATTCAGCCACAGAAATGATGTTAATGGAAACGAGATATGCCTGTGAGCCTAAATTAAAAACAGTATTACCACTTACTATATACTGTATATATGTATTTTATAGTGATGTTACTTTGTACAGTATAAGTTTATATTTTTACTATTTTCCTTGAGTTGTATAAAAACCTCAAGGACATATTTCATTTCTGACTAGTAACTTTAGAAACTGGTTAAAAACATGCTTGGTACATGCTGAGGACAGAACATCTGTTCATCCAGATGGTTTGAAGAGCATCTGAGGATCCTGGACAAACCTTCAGAACAACACAGAGGTTTGGTTTTTGGTCCGGGTAGAAACTGATGCATCCGGGTTCTGTGGCCATGAATGTAACACTAATACATGAGAGGCTCAACCTGGGCTAAGTTAACACCCCTGAAACCAAACCTGCAGGGAACAGGAAGATTAAACAAAGCAGAGGTGAATTGTGCACTGACCTTGTAAGATGAGCTCTGAAGTTAAAAGGAAGTTATTCTATATTATTGTCTTCTATGTTTTCCTGTTCTGGGAACTGATTTCCTCTTTAGCAGCATCTCATTTGACTTTACTTCCAGTATAATTATTATTTCACTTCTTGTTTTTTATGCACACACAAATGGAAATTACAAAAAAACCCTACAAATTACAACAGTTTTGTGGGTCAGTAAACGTAACAATGTGATTTATTCACCTACCCGGCAGTGTTGTTTTACATTCTAATGAACAGTTTGAGGTTTGACAACACTACACTGCAAAGAACAGATGTAGGAGAGACAAACAGAGCTGAGGGTTAAGTACAGTTCATCATTATCCAGGCATAACGGGGCTCCTGATTTAATAATGAGCATCATAGCAGATGCTGAGTCAGAGCTACACGGTGGAATGTGAGAACAGCTGTGGTGCTTTTGGATGATGCTGTTCGTCTGTGATCAGACTGCTCTGTGGACATTACTAGGTGTCTCCTCTTTGCTATGTGAACGCACCAGTGTGAACGTAACGTGAAGACTCTTTCTGAGCTCAGTGGCACTTTGCTCTTGAAGGCTTTTATTTACTCAAGATTATCTTTATATATTTGCTAAAACTGTGGCGGACTCCACCTTTGCCACAGGTTGAAAAATAAGTAACTAAAGAAAACAAACACTCTTGACAACCACACAGGAGACTGTGTAATACTGAAGACTTAGGTTCAAGTACTGCTGCAAAGGCTTGTTTTCATCAATTTTTGATCAATTTACTTTTCGGTTTATAAAATGTCAAAAACCTTTAGGTTCCTAGAGTCAATTTTGACAATTCTATTTAATTTAATCTAATTCCAGGAATAAGAAAGAAATGAATTTGTTACAGAAACACTGGACATGTTCACCTCCCCACACCTCTAAAATCCCTCTGAGAACACAAATCTGTGAAGAAAATATTGCTCCTTGGTTTAGCTGTTAATAATCTGTGCCCACCTTGGGCTGTAAACTACAGCGAGGGGCCACAAGTGGACAATACTTCATTTGGAGTCAAATAGGTTTTAACTGATTTTGGATTTGTTTCAGAAGAAGTGTTGTAGACCAACAGCGAAAGTCAGATGTTGAGGAGTTCTAAGGAAAGAGAAATAACACAGACCATAAGAAAAGCATGTGGGAACACTTGCCTCTATGCTCGTGCGAGCCTCCAGCACGGGTACAGCATTGTGGCCCCTGTGGTCCTCTGTCAAACAGTCCTGACAGACACAGCAGGCATCTTCGCAGCAGAACAGCTCCAGAGGCCACTTGTGGCTCTCACAGGTCCTCCTCTCGATGTCCCTGAGTGGCTCCACCAGCCGGTGGTTCTGAAACTTTGGGTTTTCCAGGTGAGGCCGTAGGTGGGTCTCACAGTACGACACCAGGCAGGTGAGGCAGGACTTGAGGGCCCTGCGGGGGCTCTCGATGCAGGAGTCACACAGCACATCGTCTGGGCCCACAGGCTCTGCCTTCACGCCCTCTTCTATCTCCTCTGAGGCTTCGTTTTTCACCTCATCCTCGGTCTGTGGTTCTTCCCCGGTCCCCTCTTCAGTCACTGTCAGATCTTCTTCAGTTCTGACCTCCTCTGCTGTGGTGGAGTCCAAACTTTGCTCCTCTTGGCTCACAGGAGTTTCAGTCACTGTTCCATTCTGTTTGAGCCCATCAGCAGGTTCAGGCTTGTCAGGACAGCGCAGACACTCAGGACATCCTTTTCCTTTGTCCCCGAGGCACGAGCCACAAACAGAGTGACCACCAGGCACCTGCTTGTCTCCAGTCAGCTCACCTGCTACAGCTGCTGCTTCTGCCATGTCTCAGGTCCTGCTCTGTCAGCGTTGCTTCACTCCGACTCTTTTATGCTTTCTGAAAATAACTGGCTTGACCTCTTCTGTCAGCTGGAAGTTTCTGGATCAGATCGAAGAACTGGGAAAGCCACGCCTAGATGATATCAGTGTCAGTCCAAGGCCTCGTAGTTGCAGTAAATGTTATTCTTCAGCACTCACACACAGCCAGGCCGGAGTTGTGTCAAGATCTGTGCCTCCATCGAGAAGCCTTTCCCCCTGTTAAAACTGTTTCTAGTAACGCCCCTCTGGTGGTTATGGTTAGGGCTCGGGTTACACACATCTTGACAGGGGAACAGACCTCGACAACAGCTCACAATGAGAAACAGTTTCTGGTTTAAACAAAAGCCACAGGGTGGAGCTGACACCGTAAACGGTGAACAGAGAGGTGTTGGGTTGCATTCCCTACATTGATCATGAACTGGAAGCGTACAAGATCAAACATCAGCAAACACTATCTCAACTGTTTCAAGTCTTTATTTCTCACCCAGCTCATGAACTCACACTGCACTGTTGCTCTGTGTCGATACAACAGGAAATCATTGGTTCCGCTTTTGTCTGTTCACCTGCTTCCTCTGTCACATTTAAACATTTCTGTTGCTTCAAAGTGCAACTGGAAAATCCAGTTTTGGCTGAGTCAGCTTCAGGGCAGAAGCCGCCCCCCAGTGGCCACAGCCTGTGTTTACCACACTTACTCTGAATGTTTTTAGCCTGTTTGAGTTCATCTTTGCTAAATTTGCAACTCTTTGTAGTCATTTTGCTCCTGTTTTTACTTCTTTTCTGTATATTCTTGTCATTTGGCATATTCGGTTTACTGTCATTGGAATCTTTTTGTCTCTTTTGAGTGGTCGTGTATTTGTTTTGTAGTCATTTGATAGCTTTTCCAACAGAAAGGTTTACAAACCCTTCACAGTTCTCTGAGCAATGCTCTTGTGTTTTTATGATTGTATGATTTTATTAACTTACTTATAGCCTATTAATTATAAGCTTAATTGATGTGCCTGTGGGGCAGCATGGTGGTGCAGGGCCAGGTTCAACTGGGGCCACTCTATCTGCAGCTGGTGAGCTTGTTGTGCTGCCCCCCCAGTGGCCAAAATCAGCCAACACAGTTTTATAGTATAGTGTTCATTCTGTGAGTGTATGAAGGTTTTTTTTTATTTTGTGTGACTTTCCACTAAGTCCACAACTTCAGCCATGACTATCAATACAGTAAGGTTCAAATTGAAGATAGTTTATTTTTATGTAACAAGACAACTTATTCAGACAGCACAGATCCTTAGATATTCAAGTTTGTGATAATATGAGACATGTCCATAGAGGCAATGAAATAAAGTCTAATTCATGAAAATTCAAATTAAAATTTATTATCAGAAAGATAACAACACACAATTAGAACTGCAGCCAGACTAAAGCTCACACATCACAGTGCTTCGCCTTCCAGTGGCTTTGACCACTTCTGATTGTATCACTGGTATTTTTTGTTTATAAAGCCATTCTGGGACGTTTCATCATATTGATAAGTTTTATATAGCACTTTAAAAACCTTTTCTACTGAATGTCTGCACATTTATTTAAGAAAACATATTTAAAGTGTTAAAACATGGTGATGCTGACAGAAATAAGGTGAAGGAAAAGAAAAGGGGATCAACAGAGAAAATTAAAATCATCAATGTTAAAAAACAATAAAATACGATAAAAATAAAACGAAAAAGGCACAGCTGTGCGAGTACATTTTTAGATGAAATTTAAAAGTGTATACAGAATCTGTGAACTTCATATCCTCTGACTGGATGTTCCATAATTTTAGGGCCCCGACTGAGAAGGCCTGGTCCCCCTTTATTTTTAATCTGCAGACTACAGACCTGCCAGAGGACCTGGCACAGCAGCTCAGGGGGCTAAAGCATGTTTGAAATGTACAATGGGGCCATAAATTGCTTTAAAAAGAATAAAAAGTTCAAATCAAGTGTCTGTTAAAACCTGCTGAGATCCAAGTTGTTGCGCTTTGGACCAACGTGAGTTACAATAACAGTGTCGGTAATGTGTGCATAATCAGTTTCTTAATTGTGTCTTGCAGTCCTTTTCTCACACTATACATATATGTGGATGGACGGAAAAGGGAAAGAAAGCCTTTATATTTTCTGCAACAGTTTTTGGTTATGGTATTAGTCTGAGATAACATGACTGCTATTTTTACACTGCAGTGCTGTGCTTAGTCTCTGCAACTTTGATCTTAATACATTTTTACTGGAGCAATAAATGCATTCACTAGCAGGAATAAACCATTTCTTTAAATTTCATTAAGTATAATCCTCTGAAGCTCTTGAAGTTGCATGTTACTGTACATAAAGCCTGAATAAGTTGAGCTTCATGAGACAGGGAGCTGCGATCACTGTGACTCTGAATGCAGTGCTCATTAAAGCTAATCTAGCTTTAGAGTGCTTATCTTTGTGCTACTTATTAAAGCTTTAGGAGGCCTATTAATGCTATAATTTTTAAAAAGCAATCAGGAGGGTGTCACGTTAACGTTGAGTCAAACTTTAGTGTAGTGCCGTCATTCCACTGCCTCCAGGAACCGTACTGCACCGGCGTTTGGGTTTCCATTGTCTCACAAATGGACTGTGCCTGGACTGAAACCAGGCTGAAAAGCATGATGTCTGACTGGTGCTTGTTCAGCACTTTTCTATGCATTGAAGCACAGTCAGAGAGCTTTTACACTATTAACTCATTCACCCACTAGTGGAACAGCCACCGGGAGCAACTTGGCGTTCAGTGTCCTGCTCAAGGACACTTCAACATGTGGACTGGAGAAGCCAGGAATTGAACACCAACCCTCCAGTTAGGAGAAGACCCACTGTAACGTTTGTGGAAACACAAACATGTTTCGGTGCCAGGCAGTAGTAGCCAATAACTGGCCTGGTACAGATCCTGGCAGCAGTGGAATGACGGCATTAGAGCTCAGATCTAAACTGAGGAGATGGCATCATGTCAGCAGAAACACACTTTTGTTTTGCATTTGACCAGTAGCACTTCTTAGTCTGGACCTTTGTCCTCCTTCATCACTGCACTCCCACCAGCTCTGTGATCGGAGGCGCAAACACCATCAGCTCCTGGTACCTCTGGAAGAAGAGCTTCAGGCGGGAGAGGTAGCTGTCCTCCTGGTAGGGAAGCTGCTTTTCATTCAGATATTTGGACACAACGGGCTTCACCTGGAGAGCAGAGAGCAGGCAGACATAGGGGCAAGTGTGAACATGCACATGACAAACATGAGCAAGTGAACTGTGGTTCTTACCACACCAAGAAACTCACACAATCATTGTGCTTCAAGAAGAAACCAGTTTGTACAGTAAAGAGACAACGAGGAAGAGGGGGCTAGAAACAGGGCCATAAAGAAACACAAAATATACACACAACACATACAGAAGTAAAAGGATCACAGAGATGTAAAACAACACATCACCACCACAGAGAAATACTAAATAACTACAAAGGTGTATTAACAGAGTGATGCTCCTCAAGCCAACATGTCAGACAGAACCAAAATTAAGTAAAAGTAACAGTTTCTATTAAAACTTTGCTATTGCATTGTGCTTTTCTTTGCACTGAAGCACACTCAAAGTGCTTTCACATTATTTCCCTTTTTACACATTCACGCACACATTCATACACCGGTGATTTCATCAGGGGCGACCTGGGGTTTGCTGCCTTGCCCAAGGGCACTTTGACATGTGGACTGGAGAAGCAGGGGATCGAGGCCGCGACCCTCTGGCTAGGGGATGAACTATTCAGTAGAGCGGGACAGCTGATGATATCCTTTGTAGTGGACATTATTTGTTTGCTTAGTCTTTGTCCTACCTTTAGACACATGCTATCAGACAGGAAGGGGAAGAGGTGGTGCTCCACGTGACAGTTGATCAGCGAGTGTCCAAACATCCAGTCCAGCACCGGGTTACGTGGCAGGTTCAGGACTCCGTGGGTCATCTGGTAGATCCTCTTCGGTCGCCGGGTCGGGGAGAACATGGGGAGGCCAATGTGCTAGAAATTACACACAATTTGTACCGGTTTGATTAAGTCAACTGTTCTGGAGCTTTTGATCATATCACACAACCTTCCTTGGTAAAAACTGAGGTTTGAAATTTCAATTTAAGCTCAAAAACAACAAAAATGCTAATTAAAAGTGTCAGCTCTGACTCACAGAGAAACTCTTGTGTTTACAGTCAGTGAACTTTGAAAATGAGAGCAGATCATGAGCTCAGAAAGTCACTGGCCATGCTTCCATCACTCAGTTTTTATACTGGGCATATAACTTTTTTGTCTTGGTGCAGCCATTGTTGTACATGCACACATCTCGGATATGGGTTTTCTCACAGTTAAGGGAAATAAGAGACACCAGAGTTGCAGTTAGACCACTCAGGGGACACTGAGTTCAGGGGAGAAAAGGCAGTACAACAGCCAACAACAGTACCAAGAGACAGCAGAGACAAACAACAAAACAATTTGCCCTGCTAGACCGTCAACTTCACATCAAGAGCTTTAATTTTCTAATCCACATTCACACTCTTTGATCAGAATAATGCCCAGTGACCTGCTGGACTTGAGTCATTTTTATCCCTGTAGTTCATGGACTGGTCTGATGCTGCATTGAGCCAGGGCTTCTGGAAAGGCTTTCGAACAAGAGGCACTCTCATAATCATTTGGCCTGAACAAATACTGCCAGCAGTCAGATCTGTGAGAGCTGAGCACGTGTCCGGCTGTCTCTGCCCGATTTTGGATATTTTTTCTTTTCCAAATAAACTGCCTATGACATAACATTCTAAACCCAAACAAAACCTTGAAACGTGAAGAGGAAACACATACAGATATACACTCTATACACTCAGATCTATCAAAATAAATACATACTTTTATTTATAATTCACAGGTTCAAACAACGTGCTGCAGATTTTCTCACCTGGAAAATGTTGACATGGATATAGGGCACAGAGAACATCGCTCTGCATACAAGCATACAGAACAAGGCGCTGTAAGGTGACCTGAAACCAGAGACGTGCATCAGCAGCCAGTACTGTGAGTACAGGCCCAGTGTCACCATCAGCATGGTCCTAATGATGAGGGCCAAAGGGTGTCCTCGGAGCTGAGCTGCAAAACCACAGAAACCATCATGCGTGTAGTAATCTGATTATTCACAGAATCAGAGTGTTGTTTTCTTTTGTTTGCCAGAGCGTGTTTTGTCTTTGTGGTGATGCATTGGGGTGTTTGTTTTCGTCACATAGTGGATCATTAGGAAATTTCATGGTTTGTTGTGATGGGTTGAAATATGCAGTTGCACAGTGTTATAACCGTTTTATATGAGTGTTGAGGAATTTATTGTTCATATCTCATGTTCTATTATTTTGCAATGTTTAAAGAAAACAACCAAAAAAAACGAGAAGAAGAAGAGAGAAGACGCACGGAGCGGGCGAAGGAGAACTGGACAAGTCACGGCAATGGCCGTATAAAGTGTTCCCCAATGCATCACCACAAAGACAAAACCAA